AGCCGGGCTGCATCAGTCATTTGCCACAGAGGTGCCGGGCTCTACCAGTGTGGCGGAGGGTTGGGCTGTAGCTTGAGTTTTGGTTTTGGAAATCTCTGGGCTGAACTAAAAAAAGTCATTTCTAGCATCTTCCTTGAATGCTATTTTCTGCCTCTTGTTTTCAGAGGAATTCACTGCCGGATTTGTTCAGTTCAGGGTATTTAATAATGAGAGAGCAGCCAACGCCTTGTGTGCTGGAATGAGGGTCACGGGATGCAACACTGAGCACGTGAGTCTTTGTGGGACAAAAGGGGTTTGTGAGTAGGGTCAAGTTTGTCAGGGTGTGTATGTGTGTGTTGAGTGTGGAACAACTTGGTATGAGTGTGTGTGTGTGTGTGTGTGTGTGTGTGTGTGTGTGTGTGTGTGTGTGAGGAGGGTGACCATCCCATGCTAGGACTACAGGCATATGCCACCATGCCCTGTTTTCTTTTCGTTTCTTTTTTTCTTTTAAGAGATAGGGTCTTGTTAGTCTTCAGACTAGTCTTGAACTCCTGGCCTCAATCCTCCTGCCTTAAATGAATGTTTAGACACGTTGAAGAAAAGTCATGGGGTAATTTCTTGATTTATTGTAGAGATGAGGTCTCGCCAAGTTGCCCAGGTGACAGAGTAAGACTCCAACTCAAAAGAAAAACAAAAAACAAAAAACAAAAAACAAAACACATACAAAAAAAGAAAAGTCACGGGGAGACAATGATGTCACTAAACCTAAAGACTGAAGTTTTTATGGGAGGAATATATCAACCCTGCCAGTGGAGCGTCGGGTTACGACCAAAGATTCCAGTGACTTTGGCCATTAAGATGTCATTAAGATCCCAGCACTTTGGGGGGATCGCTTGAGGTCAGGAGTTTGAGAATATCCTGGGCAACATAGCAAGACTGTTTCTACAAACAAACAAAAAACAATCCACCCCAAAACCAAAAAATTAGCAGGGCATGGTGGCACAAGTCTGTAGTCACAGCTTTTCAGGAGATTGAGGTGAGAGGATTGCTTGAGGTTACGGTGAGTTATAATCAGACTATTGTACTCCAGCCTGGGCAACAGAGAGAGACCCTGGCTGTACAAAAGTCAAACACAAAAACCAAAAAAGCTGTGACTGGCCCCAGCAGCAGCCTTCTCAGTACCACTTCCTCCTTTCCTTGTGCCCTAGCACTGCATTGGCGGAGGAGGATTCTTCCCTGAGGCCAATCCCTTGCAGTGTGGGGATTTTTCTAGCTTTGACTGGAATGGATATGGAACTCATATCAGTTCCAGCAACAGCCGGGAGATAACGGAGGCAACTGTGCTTCTGTTCTACCGTTGAGAGCGTCGTGGCATAGGGCCCAGATTTTTCCCAACCGGAGATCCCAGGGACGGGAACAGCATATCTAGTGACTGGAATACTGATGGCAGAGGAAAAGAGAATAAAGCATACTGCTCAAGGCCTGGTGTTTTTGTGAATTATTTTCCTGCAGAGGGTGAAACACCATAGGAGAGTTCAAAGAATGTCTATTGCGCTGGTTGATTCTGGTTGATTCTACGTCAACCACTTTTGTGTGTGGACTGTTATGGTTTAGGAATCCTACTAGCGGAACTTGCAATCTGCGTCTCCCTTCAGGTAGTCCTGAAAATAGCCAGAGGAATGAAGGACAAGGGGGAAGCGTTTGATCCTAACCCCCGCTAACTCACTCATATAGACTGATCAATTCACACTCTCTACTTGAAGATCCCAAAGGAGAAAACTGTGCAATTTTTGGAGTGAACCAAAGAAGAGAAAAGATGCACCCAGTATCCATATCTTGTATGTTCTTAGTGATTGGGGCATTCTCCCTAGGGAAGAATGAACTGACAGGCCTGTAATGCCGGGACTCTCCTCGGACTGTGGCTTGACTACCTGGGCTCTCTCAGCTTCACGAGTTTATTCAGAAGAAGCCAGGTGGACAAATCACCCCCAGCATGTTATTAGTACAGATAGGAGCTGGGCATGGTGGCACATACTGGTAATCCCAGCTACTTGCAGGAGGCTGAGGCTGGAGGATCCCGTGAACCTGGGAGTTCAAGACCAGCTGGGGAACATAGTGAGACCCCATCTTAAAAAACAAATGTTAACTGGGCACAGTGGCTCACGCCTATAATGCCAGCACTTTGGGAGACTGAGGTGAGAGGATTGCCTGAGCCCATGGGTTCAAGACTGGCCTGGGCAACTTGGTGAGACTTCATCCCTACAATAAATCAAAAAATTGCAGGCTTGTGGTCTCAGCTACTTGGAAGGCTGAGGTGGAAGAATCACCTGAGCCCAGCCGGATGAGGCTGCAGTGGCCATGAGCGAGCCACTGCACTACAGCCTGGACACAGAGTGAGACTCCGACACAAACAAACAAGCAAGCAAGCAAACAAACAAACAAACAAATGTTAGCGGCAGGCAGGATAGGATTGATATCAGTTCTGACCCATGGATAACACTAGACATTTTATTCTGTTTCCTCTAGACTGCAAATCTAATTACAACAAGGTCTTTCAGTTCTCTCCCACCCAACTGCCATTCTCTTGGCTAGGACATGAAATTCAAAGTTCTCAGGCCTTAGGGAAATTAGAAGAGAAGAAGAAGGAGAAGGAGGAGGAGGAGGAGGGAAAATGGGAGGGGGAAGAAGTTTACTTTAACAATGTCTAGGAGGGTTAATTTTGGTTAAACTAGATTTATCTGTGCCTAGGCTAGAAATCGTCAGCCTTTTTTCTACTATTTCTTTCTACTTCCTTAATAACTTGTTTTCTTCCACCTGTCCTTTCCTGCCTTCTCTCTGACCCCTTGTCCCCATGCTCTATCCTAAAATGCAGACGTCTCTGCACCCATCACTCTCAGTTACCATTCTTCCAGCTAGAGAAGGCAGCAGAACACCTGAATAGGTTTTCACCTCTGTTTGGATTCCCTTGTATGTGACTCACCTCTTGTGTGCCAGATGCTGCCGCCTGGGAGTACGTACACCAGTGGCACAACAGACAAGTGCATATTGTTTCTCTTTTATGTATTTCTTCATTCCAACAATATTTACTGAATGTGTGCTCTTTCCTGGGGTAAGTGCTAGGATACAATCACAGGAAGACAGGCAACCCCACTTCTTTTTTTTTACTTTTTTGAGTTGAAGTCCCACTTCATTGCCTAGACTGGAGTGCAGTGGCACACTCATGGCCACGCCAGCGTTGACCTGCTGGGCTCCGGTGATCTATCTGCCTCAGAAAAGGCTTTGTGTTCCTGACCGATGAATGTGTTCATCAACTGGGAAATTCTCTGAACCCCTTACTTTCGGGATTTTTATGAAGGCTTTCTCATTAGGCATGATTGATTATTAACTCCATTACCAGCCTTGTACCCTTCCCTGGAGCATGAGAGGTGGTGCTGAATCTTTCAAGCTTCTCATCACGGCTTGGTCTTTCTGGTGACCAGCCCTCATCCAGGAGCCCATCAGAAGTCACCTTATGAAAACACTCCTAGCTGGGCTCGGTGGTTCAGCCTGTAATCCCGCGCCTTTGGGAGGCTGAGGTGAGTGGATTGCCTGAGCCCACGGGTTTGAGACCCGCCTGGGCAACTTGGCGAGACCTCATCTCTACAATCAATAATAAAATTAACCCAGTATGGTAGCACGCGCCTGTAGTTCCGGCTACTTGGAAGGCTGAGGCGGAAGAATCGCCGGAGCCCAGTGGGTCTAGGATGCGGTGGCCGGGAGCGGCCGCTGCACTCCAGTCTGGGCGACAGAGTGAGACTCCAACTCAAAAAACAAAACAAAACAAAACAAAACAAAAACACTCCTATCGCCCAGATAATTCCTAGGGATTTAGGAGGTTTGTGTTAGGGATCATGGTCAAAGACCAAATATCAGAACAAAAGATTTTCCTAGTATCCCTGTTTACAAGGATTTTAGGAGTTCTGTGTTAGAAATAGGGAGCAGAGATCAATATTTATGTTTTTTATACTTTCTTTATTTTATTTATTTATTTATTTATTATAAGGATGTGGAGTACAATTCAGGGTTAGGTATACAAACATTGATCATGCAGGTACCCTTGTTGATGAGGTATGCCCCTCTCTCCCCTAGCAGTTTTTCTTTCTTTTTTGGATGAAGGATCTCACTATTTTGCCCAGGCTGGAGTGCAGTGGCTACTCACAGGCACAGTCATAGTGCACTGTAACCTTAATTCCTGGTCTTAAGGAAACCTCCTGCCTCAGCCTATTGAGTAGCTAGGACTACAAATGCCTGCCACTGTGTCAGCTCTTTCATACGTTTATTTGGTTTTCTGCGTTGGAGTCTCACTTGTCATCCAGCTGGAGTGCAATGGTGTGCTCACAGCTACTGAAGCCTCAACCTGCTGGGCTCAGGTGATCCTTCTGCCTCAGCCTTCCAAGTAGCTGGAACCACAAATGCACGCTACCACACACCTGTCTGAGTTTTGATTTATTGTAGAGATGAAGTCTCGCCAAGTTGCCCAGGTTGGTCTCGAACTCCTGGTCTCAGGCAATCCTCTCACCTCGGCCTCCCAAAGTGCGGGATTACAGTCTTGAGCCAATGCGCCTGGCGCTATTTCACGCTTTTGAAAACAAGTGAAGGGACTAATGCGTTAAAAACATTACTAGGCCAGGTGTAGTGACTCATGCCTGTAATCCCAGCACTTTGGGTGACCGAAGTGAGAACATTGCCTGAGCCCATTGATTCGATACCAGCCTTGGCAACTTGGCGAGACTTCATCTCTACAATAAAAAAAAAAAAAAATGCCGGGCTCGGTAGCCTTGCCTATAATTCCGCCCTTTGGGAGGCTGAGGTGAGTGGATTGCTTGAGCCCATGGGTTTGAGACCTGCTTGGGCAACTTGGTGAGACCTCATCTCTACAATAAATAAAAAAAAATAGCCAGGCATGGTACCCTGCGCCTGTAGTTCCAGCTACTTGGAAGGTTGATTCGGAAGGATTGCCCGAGCCCAGCAGGTCGAGGCTGCGGTGGCTGGGAGCCGCCACTGCACTCCAGTCTGGGTGACAGTGAGACTCCAACTAAAAAAAAAAAAAAAAAAAAAAAAAATATATATATATATATATATATATATATTAGCTGGGTGTGGTGGCGCATGCCTGTAGTTCCAGCCACTTTGAAGGCTGAGGTGGAAGGATCGCTGGAGCCCGGCAGGTCGAGGCTGTAGTGGCCGAGAGCGTGCCACTGGCCTCTCCAACCTGGGCGAGAGAGTAAGACTCCAACTCAAATCCGCCCGCTCCCAAAAAAATTACTGATTTATGTTTTTGACTATATGATGTATAAAGAGACAAATCTGTGACGTCACCAACTGAAAGTGGTGGATGACAGAGCTGTAAGAGACCAGAGTTTTGGTATGTTATTTAAGTTCCACTGGTATAATTAGTGTTATAATTGAAATCAGTGTTATAACTTTAGGATATAAAATGTAATCCCCGCCGGGCTCAGAGACTCAGCCTGTAATCCCAGCACTTTGGGAGGCCGAGGTGAGTGGATTGCCTGAGCTCGCGGGTTCAAGACTCGCCCGGGCAACTTGGTGCGACCTCATCTCTACAATAAATAAAAAACAAATCAGCCAGGGGTGGTAGTGGGTGCCTGTAGTTCCAGCTACTCGGAAGGCTGAGGCGGAAGGATCACCGGAGCCCAGCGGGTCGAGGCTGCGGTGGCCGGGAGTGGCCACTGCACTCCAATTGGGCGACGGAGTGAGACTCCAACTCAAAAGAAAAAAAAAAAAATGTAATCCCCATGGTAACCACAGAGAAAATAACCAAAAGAGAAAAGAAGACAGTAATGCAGAAAATGAGGACCAAAATAGCTATATAGAAAACAAATACCAAAAGAGAGAAGTCCCCTCTTTTCAGGAATTCCTTTAAATGTGAGTAGATTAAAATCGCTAATCAAAGAACAGAGATTGACCAAATGAATATAAAGACATTCCCTACCTCTATGCTATCTACAAGAGACTCATTTTAGATCCAAGGACACAGAGAAGTTGAAAGTGAAAGAACGGAAAAAGATATTATATGCAAACACTAACCAAAAGAAAGCAGTGTGACTATACTAAATGAGACATCCCAGCACTTTGGGCGGCCGAGGTTAGAGGATTGCCTGAACCCGCCGGTTTGAGACCAGCCAGGGCAACTTGGTGAGACCTTATCTCTACCAAAAAAAAAAAAAAAATTAGCCGGGTGTGGTGGTGTGTGCCTGTAGTTCCAGCTACTTGGAAGACTGAGGCAAAAGGATCACCCCTAGTCCTGCAGGTCGAGGCTGTGGTGGCCGTGAGCATGCCACTGCACTCCAGCCTGGGTGACAGAGTGAGACTCCAACTCAAAAAAAAAAAAAAAAAGAAAGAAATAGAGGATTTTCACAACATAATAAATCAACCAGATATAACTGGCATTCACAGAACATGGAACAATACAAA